CATCCATCCATCCATCCATCCATCCATCCATCCATCCATCCATCCATCCATCCATCCATCCATCCAGTGATGGTGTATTGTGTTGTGTTGTCTGCAGCAGTGGAGGACAGGAAGCTCTTTATTGGAATGATTTCTAAGAAGTGTAATGAAAATGACATCCGCCTGATGTTCCTGCCGTACGGACAGATCGAAGAGTGTCGGATACTACGAGGACCTGATGGACTCAGTCGTGGTAAAATGTGTAAAAATGTCTGAGTACTAGATGTTTCTGTTCATTAGGGTCAATTAGGTGAGGCAGCCATCTTAAACTAGGTTGACACTAAYAGTTGGTTGACCAACCAAGAAATAAAGAAGTGTTGATTGTCTTATTTTCAGGTTGTGCGTTTGTAACGTTCACAGCTCGACAGATGGCCCAGTCAGCTATCAAGTCAATGCATCAGAGTCAGACCATGGAGGTAACACAGATTAGGAGCTTTTACAGGACTTTCATTTAACACTACAGAATACCAGCATTTTTACTGCTGAAAATACCAGCATCTTATTTAGATAGAAGAAAACAACTTTCTGAACACTGTCCCTAACTGAATGTACTGGTTTCTTTGTAGACCTTTAAATCACTGATTTTCTGACCTCAGGGTTGTTCCTCTCCCATTGTGGTGAAGTTTGCTGACACCCAAAAAGACAAAGAACAGAAACGCCTGGCTCAGCAGCTGCAGCAGCAGATGCAGCAGCTCAGTGCTTCTTCCATGTGGGGGAGTCTCTGTGGGTTCAACAGTTTGGGTCCACAGTACCTCGCCGTGAGTCCAGCTCAGGGTTTCTTCAGAATCACCCAGTCAGTCTCACACACAAACACTTTGAATCCAAGTAATCCTGCTTCTGGTTTCAGCTCTACTTACAGCTGCTGCAGCAGGCGACCTTCACCGGGAATACACTCAGCAACCTGCACCCAGTCTCAGGTACACACACGTTTGTTAATCTATTGCAATGGGGACTTTGTACTGGCTTACATTCATTTTCCATTTTTTATAGCCTAACCTGACCTTTTACCCTAAATCTAACCACCTCACCATAAATCAAGCATAAACTCAATTCACACGTTGGTCTTAAACTGAACCCCCCACACAAAATCAGCCTCCATACCTGTGGGGACCAGGCTTTTGTCCCCATGGTTTAATTAATTGAATGTGTCATGGTCAGAAAGAAGAATGAGAACATTGTTAAATGTGACTGTGTGTCAGGTCTCACCACCATGCAGAACCTGTCAGCTTTAGCTGCAGCAACAACAACACAAGGAACGTCTTCAAGCTCCTCCTCCATGATGACTTCCAATAATTCACTCAGTTCACTAACCGGCTCAGGTAAACACTAACCAGGTTAATGATTACCGGCTCAGGTAAACACTAACCAGGTTAATGATTACTAACCAGGTAAACACTAACCAGGTTAATGATTACTAACCAGGTAAACACTAACCAGGTTAATGATTACTAACCAGGTAAACACTAACCAGGTTAACACAGGTTAAGGTAAACATTAACCAGGTTAAGGTAAATAGTAACTAGGTTAAGGTGAACACTAACCAGGTAAACACCAACCAGGTTAACATTAACCAGGTTAAGGTAAACAATAACAAGGTTAAGGTGAACACTAACCAGGTAAACACTAACCAGGTAAACACTAAGTTAAGGTAAACTCTAACCAGGTTAAGGTGAACAGTAACTAGGTTAAGGTGAACACTAACCAGGTTAAGGTAAACAGCAACTAGGTTAAGGTGAACACTAACCAGGTTAACATTAACCAGTTTAAGGTAAACAGTAACTAGGTTAAGGTGAACACTAACCAGGTTAACATTAACCAGGTTAACATTAACCAGATTAAGGTAAACAGTAACTAGGTTAAGGCGAACACTAACAAGGTTAACATTAACCAGATTAAGGTAAACAGTAACAAGGTTAAGGTGAATACTAACAGGTAAACACTAACCAGGTAAACATTAACCAGGTTAAGGTAAACAGTAACTAGGTTAAGGTGAACACTAACCAGGTAAACACTAACCAGGTTAAGGTAAACAGTAACAAGGTTAACCAGGTAAACACTAAGTTAAGGTAAACTCTAACCAGGTTAAGGTAAACACTAACCAGGTTAAGGTAAACAGTAACAAGGTGAACCAGGTAAACACTAAGTTAAGGTAAACTCTAACCAGGTTAACACGAACACTAACCAGGTTAAGGTAAACAGTAACAAGGTTAACCAGGTAAACACTAAGTTAAGGTAAACTCTAACCAGGTTAACACTAACCAGGTTAAGGTAAACAGTAAGAAGGTGAACCAGGTAAACACTAAGTTAAGGTAAACTCTAACCAGGTTAAGGTGAACACTAACCAGGTTAACATTAACCAGGTTAAGGTGAATACTAACAGGTAAACACTAAGTTAAGGTAAACTCTAACCAGGTTGAGATGAACCCGACTCTTGTTTTGTTTCTTGTTTATTTGGATCAACCTGTTGTTTACCTGCTGCAGGTGTGTCGGCGCTGAACGGCAGTCTGACCTCCAACAGTTCTGGGAACCCGATGGAGGCGCTGAGTCAGGCCTACTCAGGGATGCAGCAGTATGCAGCTGCAGCTCTGCCCAGCCTGTACAACCAGAACCTGCTGACCCAACAGAACCTCTCAGCTGCTGCTGGCAGCCAGAAGGAAGGTGGGTTCTGCTGKAAGGTCAACTCACGTCACGTTCCGTTGTTCTGGTTTCATGTCTCTGTTGTATTTGAATGTTTTCAGTATTTTACTGGATTTTCTTTAGTTTTTCTCTCTGAACTCGACTTGATTTTTCTTCATTGTGTTAAAACTGTTCAGACTTTATTTCATGTGAACTCCCTCAGTTGTCTTCAGGTTTTTCTAACTGGGTTGATGGTTTTGTACAGAACCTGTGGTTCCTCAGTTGTTTTAAGCYAAGCTGCTTTGGGTTCAGTTCTGACTGATGATGTGCTGTTCAGGTCCGGAGGGGGCCAACCTGTTCATCTACCACCTGCCACAGGAGTTTGGAGACCAGGACCTGCTGCAGATGTTTCTGCCCTTTGGAAACGTGATTTCTGCCAAAGTTTTCATCGACAAACAGACAAACCTCAGCAAATGTTTTGGTCAGTTGAAGTTCCAGATAATTAATTAATGAGACGTGATGGTTTGAATGAAATGTTATGTTTGGACTGAATGAATCTGAAAAAGTGCTGAACGACTTGTTCCAGCGGTGGGCTAAGGGCTCATAACCTCTGGCCTCAAAACGTAAACAAAAACAGCTGACCACGTTCAGAAACAGTAAGCTCAGGTTGTATTTTTATATATTTCTGTTGTTGYGMTGGAATAAATGAATCATTTTTACTTAATCTGGGGAGAAATGTTAGTGTTTTCCACAGCGTGCTGAAACACAGAATAACTGCAGACACATGGTGCCTTCCTGCCAACATCCAGGGTTTTTCATTACAAACTTCCTCAGTGTTCATGACTGGTTGTCATGTGAAAAGTGGGAATTGAAGAAATCTCTTGGGGTTTAGGTTATATACTGATTTTAATAACATACACATGGTTTAGTCTTCTGATTAAAGAACTGTAATGATTGTTAAATGTGACTGTTTTGTTTAATTTGATGGTTTTATATAGATACAAAACAAATTCAACACATAACTGAACTTTTAAATCTTCATTAGGCTGGATTATGATTTGTGTGGAGGCATGGCTCCCAGCAGCTTTAGGGACCTCTTCCTGATGATGTAATCAAAGAGGCGGAGCCACGTCTGTGTTATATTCAGTGGTCTTCCTGGTTTTCTGCCTGACTGCCAGAAGAAACGGGCCTTCAGCAGAGCGCTCTTGGTTTCCTATGATCTCTTTATATTAATAGAGAAGCAGTGGTACATTCTCCATAAACACACAAACTGGTGAACAAACACACAACAACAACATTTATTTCAAATCTATTTCTATTTTCGATTGAATCTATTCTAAATCTTTTCTATTGGTCAAAGCTGCTGGTTTCTTTTTAAAGTTTCTCAGTTTTGTTTATTTATTTGAGCACAGGAATGCAGTTTAAGAACTGGAAATGTATTTCAAACCTTTAATTTGTTTGCTCTGCAGGTTTTGTGAGCTACGATAACCCGGTGTCGTCGCAGGCAGCCATCCAGTCCATGAACGGCTTCCAGATTGGAATGAAGAGACTGAAGGTGCAGCTGAAGCGCTCAAAGATGGACAACAAACCTTATTAAAGTCAGGAGAGTTCGTGTCGACGGACGGCTGGATCCAGTTTGTCTCTGACTGTTTTWGGTGGTGTTGGGCCTGTGGCCTTCAGGTTCAGTGTGCTTTTGCTGTGGTTCTTTTACCTGTGTTCACATGTTGCTTAGAAGGTCTCCTAAAGCTGCCAGCATTAACAACATCCCAAACCATCAGGCTCCAGGTCTGTCCTTCAGCAGCAGGTCCAGTCTGCAGGGTTCTGGTWGGTCCCTGATCCTCCTGTGTCTCTGTGCTCTTTGGGTCCACGTCGTGGTGGAAGGTGGTCCGGTCCTGGATCCAGAGCTCTGWGAAACTGCTTTTTAACAAGGACACATCTGTACTTACTGGTCCCTGCTGCTGAAAACCAGCCCACAGCATGACGCTGCCACCACCGTGCTTCACTGTGGGGCTGTGCTGTCAGTCCTCTGAGCTCAGAGCTGAAGCTCAGCTGCTGCTGTTCCTTTGGAATAAATAAATTGTATGAAGTGTTTTGGTTTGGTGAGCACCACGGGTACAACGTGCTGACTGAAGACAAAACCAAGAATCTGTTTTCATCTGTGAAATCTGAACCAATCCTCAGATTTACAGGAAACCAGTGAGAAAGTTCTGCAGTAAATCATTCATCCATTCATCCATTCATTCATTCATCCATTCATCCATTCATTCGTTCATTCATTCATTCGTTCATTCATTCATTCATTCGTTCATTCATCCATTCATTCATTCATTC